GCTGCCCCGGGGAGGGGAGTGACTGGGGGCAGAATCCCAGCCCAACTTTTTTTTTTCTATATTTCAATATTTATCTCCTCTCCTCTTGGGCCAGAAGACAGTGAAGCCAGCAGGACAGTCACTGGGTGAACTTCCACAGCAGAAAGAAAGGAATAAACAAAAAGAAAGAGAAGAATAAAAGGTCTGATTTATTCTCGAAGAGCATTTGTTGCTGTGGGTGTTGTGTAATGAAAGGCCGACTTGTTCATCCATAGCAGAGTTTCTCTTCTGTTTCTGTTTAAAGTGACCCAGTGTAACGCTCTTTGAAAAAACAAGTTCAGACTGGGTTCCGCTTGCAGGCAAAGTGACAAACTGGAGGTTATTTATTCACCCCAGTGTTTGTTGGGGGGGGGGGGGGGTTTGGGGGGGGGGGGGGGGCAGGTCGAGGATGGGGGGTTATTTTCTGTCTGTAGACTAACATGCAAATGACATTCTTTCCCCTGCTAATTCAAAACAGGGGAAATCAGACATCAGGCAGTGAAAGTGAGAGGGGGGTGGGGGGGGCTGTGAACGGCTGGGCCACGCGGATCAGCACCGGACAGTCTGGCTCCTAAACGGATGTCATGCATTTACATGCGGGCTGCAGGACTCGGCCTGTGTGTATGAGTGCAGTGATACAGCAGGGATCCTTCCCTGACCGTCTGAGTGTTTTTAATTTATCAGTGTGAGAGCAGGTTCCCCGACGTTATGTTAATGGAGCAGAAAAAAAAACCCTGATAACTTTGTTGTTTTTGTCGGTTGTTTTCCTTTTTCCCTCATTTTCTTCCTTCGTTTTCCCAGCCATCCGTCACATTTGACGCCTGAAGATGCCACAGTCATTGAGTTTAATTCCTTAAATTGTGAAATGCAAAGCAAACGGCTTGTCCCGCTGGAGAACATTTAATAGACTTCCACGGGGTGTCCCTCTGCCTGCTAGGGAACCTGCCGCAGATCTTCCCTAAACTAAGGCTGAAAGGAGCCGGAAAACCCATAAGTCCCATTTATCTGTCAAAACAATTTACTTGCAGCCCGTTCAGACTGGAAGAGGAGCTGCAGTGACTCGCCCTCTTCCTCTTGGATGCTGCTGTCTCATTGGCCACTTTGCTGCTCCTCCTGGTCAAACCATCTCCTTCACTGGAGCATCAGCCGACTCTCCTGAGCATTCTGCCTATCTGATTGGCCGCTTTATTGCTCCACCCAGCGAATCCCCCCTATCGCACACACTGCTCACGCCCCTCCGGGTGTCACGTTCTTCTTCCCCAGGACCCAGACCCCTAATGTAGAAGTGAATCGAGGCGCAGCACAGCATTGACGTGGTGACACTCTGCACTGACTAGCATAACGTATCCTGACAGGATTCCACACAAAATGATTAGAAAGTAACACCTTGCCCCCGAGAGGCAGGTATTGATACTCTGGGCCCCTGACAAAGCACAGTATCATGTTTTTTCAACACTGCATTAACGTGCTTGTTTTAGCAACACGAATCCCCCAGCAAAGCTCTCTGACAACAAGGACAGCACACTGCCTGCAAACACAGCCCTTCTGGGCTTTAGCAAGGTCGCGGCTAATTGGCGGGTGTTTGAATAGGGAGCAAGGCCGGGTCACTTCTGAAATGGAGCCTCAGCTGGGGGGGGGGGGGGGGACTAGCTCTGCCTCTTTGTTTGTTAGCTTTATTGACTTTGTTTATTCTTCCTGGGCTAGTTTCGGGCTGGAGCACCTTCCCCGCCAGGATCCCAGTGGTGCCCCATCCCAAAGAGCAACATGCCACCCCCACGTCTCAGCTGGCACTTCGGGGCGCTCCAGTGGGCTTCACGAATATGCACAGCTGGCAGGGAGAGCGCCAAGGCTACAGTATGGCTCTGAGCTGGTTCACGGCTGGCGCATGCACACAGAGTAACAGCGATTAGCAGGAGGAATCGCGACAGATCGGTATGCCAAGACGCACGGTGGCGGGCTCGTACTCCTCAGAGCGCACTGCGCCAAAGGTGCTGCGGCAGAAGCAGAAAGAGTCAACATCATGCATCTGTTTGCTATTAAACACAAATGCATGGCATTACTTTACCCATAATGCTTTGCCCAAAACCAGCAATCACATGATCAACGGTGCAGTGTATGGCTGCACAGAGGCTGTGATGAATGAATGACATGAATATTTACAAGGACTCCTTTAGCATTCCTCCTCTTCATAAGCACGAATGTCTGGAAACTCCCTGAGTGGCTGTCGACTATTGTGTGGGGGCTTGTGGGTAACATGTGATGCCTTCCCGTGACTGGAACAGAAGTTCATTGTACAAGCCTGATGCCACTCATCGGGTCATTGTCTTTACAAGCGCACCCAGGTCCACACCGGAATCTTCCTCGTGGCGGGGACAGGGGATTTACTGGGGAAAAGGGAGTCAAGAGCCATCTTGGAGGGCAGACCTGGACCAGAGAGATGAAGGGAGGAGAGTGCACATACAGAGAGGCCCCTACACGGGCAGGCTGAGGACAGAAGAGGAGTTTGGGTAGGCCTTTCCCCTAATGAGGGCATGTTTGTTTGAGAGCTATCACTGCAGGGGCTGCCTTGAGCTCTGAATCTTGTTAAAGGGATTAAAGATTTAAGCAGTGTTCTCAGGCACTGCCGCAGCCTGACGGACCTGGTCCCGGCCTGCCACCATGATCCCAGAGTGGAGGTAGGCCTCCTTGGGCTGCTCCGTGCTCCAGCCCTTCCTGTCCCAGCAGGGGGGCCATTTCGCCCCGCACAGACGTGACCTGAAATGTTGAAACAGCTGCTATTTGTAAGCCGTCCTCCTGCGCCTGAAAACACTAACATTTTAAAAACAAGTTATAAAACAATTCAGGTTCACTAATTTACTCTCTGATATATAATTCTGTGATTTACTGACTGACAGCCATAAATGTTGAGGCTGATAACAACAAGATAAGCGAAAGACATTTTGTTCTGACATTCTTGACTTTCCAGTCTCGGGGCAGTTTTGTTGGGGGTAAGTCAGCCCCCGGCCGGGGTGATACATGCACTCTCGTCATTTCTGCACTGACAGCTGACATACCCAAACATAAAGGGGCTCTGTGTCTAATTTACTGCACGCTTCTTTAAGAGACGCAAAGTTGCCGAGGAGGGAAACAGGCTCTTCTCCTCCAGTCCCCCCCCCCCCCCCCACATCGTTAACGCACCCCCAGGTCATCCACTGGCCACACTGAGCCAAGGCAGCCAGGGACTCGCTGGGAGACAGCAAGCAGGTGCAGGAACACCTCGTACTGGCGCTACGGGGAGCACCCCTTTCAATTTCCAGTTTGATCCCTTTGGCAGAGATTTAGGGACAGATGGGTGGGCTTCGGAACGGGATTTCCGGGGGCCCTGCTTTCGCACTTGCCGGAGACGGACAATCGGTAAGGTCAGCATCCAGTGTGCTGTCGCCAGTGCGTCGAGTGAGTCAGGCATTACGCATTTTGACTGGGTTGATATTCACTGCGGCAGTGTGTGCTTCCGGCCCGGAAGATATCCAACCTGCAGAAAAAGGCAAAGCTAATCTAACTTACTACCGTTTAGAAGTAATATTTCTGAGCTCAGGTGATTCTGCATTCCATCTGGAACCTGACATCAGAAGGGCAAAATCCAGCATCCGGCAAATGGGACCTCATTTTTCTCTGTTTTATTGTTCAGGAAACCAACTGAAGCACAGAGACACCATGCTGACCCCTGGGTGGTGGTGCTTATCTGTATCTGGCCTCTGAAGGCGACACGTCGCATGCTGCACTGTAAACAGGATTAGCGGGATGCCGTCTGTTTGGACGCAGAGGTGCGCGAGTTGGTCTGGGGCACTGTAAGGCAAAGCCAGCGAAGACCCACGGCTGTCCAGCGCTGCCATGCGAAGAGGAAGAGGGCGGCTGTGTAAGGCCACAGCGGGGAGGGGGGGGATTAGCCCTGGGATTAATGGGGGGCTCGGAGAAGCAGGGTCCTCCTGCCACAAAAGGGCTTGTGTGGGGGTTTTCTGGGGGGCAGGAAAAGAACGGTACACAGGGTTGTCTGGTGAAAAAAGACGTCACACGACCACACGCATTGGGAGGGGGACGGGTCCCTGTACCGTCCAGACTGGCTGCTTGGAGCCGGCTGGAGCGCAGTGCCCCATGGGGATGGCAGTACACCGTGAGGAAGGCAGTGCCCAGTGAGGAAGGCAGTGCCCAGTGAGGAAGGCAGTGCCCAGTGAGGAAGGCTCTCCACTTGTAGGCGTTATTCTCCGCGCTGCCTTTGGAAGGCAGACTTTGGGGATATCGCAGGCGGCTGGGGGGGGCCAGGGTCTGCTCACTTCCCCTTCCATGAAAGGAGCTTCAGTCAAAGTGGTTGCATGTGTTCAGCTTGAATCCCTCACAGGCCAGGAATGCATCTGATTGGGCTGAATCAAGACTTATTCGCTTTGATGGCAAATATCACATTATATAAGGAAAAGCTTCTGCTGGAGATTATAGCGTTAATACGGACGGTTTGTGACTTACACTTAAAATTAATCATTACATAGAAATGTATGCAGGAGTTTACTATGTAGCTTATGTGGATAAAACAGCTTAAAACGGACTGCTATTCACATTATTTATAAAAAAAAAAAAAAGAGGGGCAAAACAAATGGCAATACAATGACAGACGTACTGCCGTGTTGCTGATATGAGCGACACGTTAAATCAGCACTTCCAGTATCCGTTTCTAAATGTAAAAGCCGAGTATAAAATGTCCGTCTCTTTAACGTAATCAATGAATACAGTCGTCATTAAGAGGGCGGAGGCCACTTTTAAAACTATCGGTTCCACATCACGCTGTTGACATCCGACTGAAATGCGTGCAGAAATGTGGGAAAATTAGAAATAAGAGGCAGGTAAACTGCAGAGATAAGGGGGTGGGGGCGTTTTTCTATTTTTTTTTTGGTGCAGGGAAAAACCCGTTGAGAGCATGCCCCCCCCCCGCGATGCGCAGCCTGTCCGGAGTCGGGCTGGAAAGGGGGGGGAGGCTGGTCCTTTAAAGCAAGAGGCGGATCTAAAGCTGAATGTCATTCCCCCGTGAGGCAGCCCGGCTCCGCGCCCCGTCCGCTTAAATGCCACATTTCTCACGCCTCAGCCTCGCTTCTCGCCGCCTTTGCAGTCCTCGGTGAGAGATGGTGCCGTCGGTGCTGGGGCCGTTTTGACAGCCGGACTCGGCAGCCCGAATCGTGGACGTTTAATGACCAAATGTGATTGTAAAGAACGGCCAAGGGAATAAAAAAGAGCAGGAATCACCGCCGTACACGTCCGATTGCCGTTTTAATGTAAGTATCACTTACTGTCCTGTTTAATCCGTGTTAAACTGTCACTATGGAAGGTGTTTCGTAGGCTGCGTGCCCCGAATTGCAGGTATTTCGGAGCCTTGGGTAGTTTTACAGCTGCCGTAAATCTTCGGACCTCAGCCCAGTAAGGAACCTGATGGAGGTGCATACATTAATTACCGTGCCATTAGGGCTTGGCTGTTGCATGTGCTCGTTTTGGGCTGGTGAGTGCAGCTTAATGAGCTAGTCGGGTTGGGTGTTTTTAGTCAGTATGTGACATGTTCATTCTTGCAAAATGACACTTTTTGTTTTAATTGTATTAATGAATGAATTCCGTAACTGAAATGTGTGCGTGTGGAAAAAGGCACAGTTTTCATGTCCCTGGAGTAATTGCTTAAAGTTATTAAATTCCGAGAGCTTTTTCGGCGTACTGGTTTTGGTGGGATTTAACTATACTGCTTCCATTTAAATGTCTTCTATCTGGTTGAAAACGAATTCAGTGAAAACTTAAACCTTTACGGTTCTATGTCGCTAAAGATATTATATAAATAATTTGCCCTGCATGCGTCTACATTTACTATTTATCACGCACATACTGTACAGCTGTTTTCTCATCCATTTTTTGCAGTTTCGGTTTAGATGCCAAAGTGAATCTCAGCACTTGTACTTCGTACAATGACAAAGTTGTAGCTAATCCGATCTGATCTAATTGCGTACTCGCCTTATCCCGCGATCTGCATGTGGACGCTGTGATCCGCGGCTAACAGCCTCAACGTGCCTCTGTCGCTGTATAAACACCTTTTATTTTTGTAGCACTAAACCAGAAGAAAAACACCATCTCCTGTAGTTAAGTAGTGATTTGTGGTGCGGGGTTTTTAACGTTTTAGCTCCAGATGCGCGGACCCCACTTGGGTGTCGCCCGTCCGGCGTCCGCAGCGCTCCCTCGGCCCGTACTGACCCGAATCCCCCCTCTCCTACCTCTCCCACTGGGGGAGGTATATGGATGTCCGATTTCTCCCAGTAACGAAACTTTCTCCAGCTATATGCTTTTTTTCCCCAGCCAAGCCGTCGCATTACGATTTTACAGCAGAGCGATCGCGCTGGGGGCAGCGTATCTTATCAGTGCGTTATGGGACAGATGAAGGGGCCTCACTATTAATCACCGCTACGCCCACTGATATGGATCCCAGTTCAGCACTCAAAAACCCATTTAAAACCAGTTAAGGATAACACAGTAACGTGCATGCTTTTCTCTACAGCTGCAGTGGTGCACGATACTGTGATGCATTCTTTAATGTTAGGCCTATTTATCAGTTTTGCAGCGATATTCCCATTTTGGAAATTCTTTTTTCAAACTTGTACTACTCGATCTGTCATCTGGCGTTTTCGACGGAGGCGATTCTAGACCCTTTTCTCAGCCCCCCTGATTTATTTTTTCCTAAATCCATTTAGTGATTTGTCCTGTAAAAATCCTGCAATCGTCCCAGGTAGGTTTGGTCCAGCATTCCGGTATAGGAAGTCGGTCCTGGCTCTGTCCGTCACCAGCACCGCGAGCAGCCGCGTCTTAACGATGACCCCTGTGCCGTATAGGCTTATTCTGTATTTTACACCTTGCATCTGCCCTGTTTTCTGTATTATAATTTTTTTTAGGACAATATAACCGTGAAAATCCTATACACGTTTAAGACAAACGGACGGGGATTTAAATCTACTTCTAAATACAAGCCTAAGGGAAGATGAGTTTGTTTTAAAGCAGGACATGGCTAGGGGGCTTTGGGGCAGTATTTATGGTGATGGCTCCACCTAGTGGCCAAACGCGAGGATTCAGTTCCGCGGGGTAAATTGTCGCGGCGCTTCGGGTTCATATAATACTACGGCTTTTAGTCAGTAAATAAACTTGTATCAGTTTGAGGGTTATACTTGCCATGCAATTATAAATGTATTGTAAAACTAGCGCAGTGAGGCTAAACATGGTCAAAACGAGCTTTTATACGTCTTTTTCAGCTTCCCGTGAACATATCGCTTATTCCGACGTAATCGCTTATGTCATAGACTAGAGAACGTTCCTGATAAATTGTTTTTAAAGGTTATGCTGTGCTATGCATTGCAATCGGTCTGAACGCATCATGTGTAGAAACAATGTTGAGGTTAATGCATAAACTATTAGGACGGCCCTCAACTGTATCTCATGTGACTGGAATTTCTGTCAAGTGCTGCTTCTCCCTAATACATTAACCCAAGCAAGGTCACGCGGCGGACCGTGGCGCCGTGGACGCGCATATAATCATGTTTGCGCGCATGGTCTTTTCTGCAAGGTCTTGTCGAGACCCAACGTGTGAAAAGTTTAAAAAGCACAATGTAGTCTTTTAGTTTCCAGAGCCCAACCTCCAAATTTCCACTAGTGGCTGGTTTCTGCAGCAGGAACGCCTCGTATGGGCGGGGGGGATGACTTTGCAGAAGGTGGCTCTCTTTGAGCGAGCCCTGCAGTGTGGGACAACAGCTTCAAATCACAGTTTAGTGCATAGGACTGATTCCATTTAAATTTCTATCTCATTGAAAGTCAGAGACACAGGAACACCAAAGCATCAAACCATTAAGAGTGATACCTAATTCATATGTTTATTGAAAAAGTGCATAGAAATTGAATTTTACTAACCTTGAGCTTCTTCCAGGAAACATTGTGTACTATTTTCCAGATGTTTAAAATATGTTAATTTTGATTTTGAAAACCAAGTTAAACACGATATAATGTAACACTGATTTTAGTTTTGTTTATATGTATATAAAGTGTGTTTCCCCCCCCCTCAATAAAAGACACTGCAGTTGCATTTTGTGTGTGTGTGGGGGGGGGGGGGCGTACCCTCTGGTGTGCTGTGGCTTGTCTTGGCTCCATCCAGTGTGGAATGTAGCAGTCCCTGTGATTAATTGACTCTGTGAAGGCAGGCCCCGCCTTCAGCGCCCATCATCCTGACTGTGACTCGCTGATCCGTCGGTCGGTAACGGATGGCTCCTGATTTGCTTACGCGGGATTTGGAGTTTCTCTTTTGCTGCTACCTGGAGTGCAAGAGGCAGCAAATGGATCTGGCTTGAGTGTAGCAGAGGCAGGCCTCCCTGGCCTGTGAGTTT